CATAATAATTGTGATGCTCCTACATTGTAACATTGCATCTATAGCTAATATACATTAACCAGCACAAACAGAAAAAAATACTAGTCTGGAGTCCTAATTAAATTAATAAATATGTAAAAATGTGCACATCACATTATAATATTTTAATTAAGCTGCATACTTGTATATAGGCCGTAATGGCATGACTTGAAGAGTGGTACTACTGGTGTGACTTATGCAAAATCACAGACAGTCCTTCAACAACAGTTTAATCTAATAAATAAAATAAAAAGATGACTTGATTTTGCAAATGCACACATATCACCACATCCTTAGTATAAACCAACTAAGTGGCTTAGCAAGAAAGACAAATCAACAAACACAAAGACACATGTACACATGTGGTGTTATAAATACACATGTATTACATTTTACACACACTTTTAACACATGTATGACTGGTTTTATGCAGTACAGAAATAGAAACAAAACATGCAAGCTATCTTTACTTAAGTTATATATTGCTTACATTTGGAGAACATTTCCATCCCAGGTTAATAAAGCTTTTATTTGTTGCTCACTGTCAGGCATTTGTTGAATGAAAGACAAAAAAAATTCTGAATCATGACTGTGCTTAATAAATTATTTACTGTTATTTCTAGAAGGGACTAATGTGTTTGAATCATGTCCAACCCCAGGTCTATGTCAAAGAGACAAATAACATTAGAACTTTCCACAAACCCATCAACCAAATAAGTTTATGCTTAATATCTGGGTTCTCAGTAGATCAGAACTATTTTTAAGCCTATTAGTAAGTCCTCCACCTCATAAATGTTTCTATATCTGCACCAAACATACTAGTCTGAAAAGTGGGTTGGGTGAGTGCTACTCTAGAATATACTTTCTGCATGTTTTCCCCTAAAGATACCCTGAAGTGCTGATTATGGGGTTTTACCATTCTATTTGACAGCGTCAGCTTGCTTGAAGTTCTTATGAGCTTAAACACTCAGCTTCCCCAGAGCAGGTTTTGATTGTTTAATCCCAACAGCGACAGGGATTGCTGTCAAAGTATCACAGGATGTGACAAATAACGTGAGGAGAATCACTCAGGTTCAGTTGAGCCTAAAATATTGACTTATGGTTTCTGAAAACATCCATCAGACTTAAGGGACTTTCCTGGTTAAATTAATCTCCAAAATTCGGATGTATTTTTTTCACAGTATGTCCAGGCGTCTCTCTGCCACATTACAGGGTGTTTCCACTACATTTAGACATGGTTAGGGACAGTGTGGTCAGTTGGGATGTTTCCTCCTGCTGTGGAATTATTTCTTCTTCTTTTTCTGTAGATGGGGTCATAGTCAGTGAAACCGACCACATACAGAATGAGTTCTTCTGTGGTGAGCAGATAACAAAACTTACTGTATAATTTATTTTATTACTTGACATTGCTTTCCACCCACAAATGATTTATTACCTACCGTCAGATGCTCCTTATTGGGCAACTCCCCTTTAATGGGGTCACATTAGCATGACTATTAAGACGAGGAAACCATCCATGGTGTCAGCTCTGCATCTGCTAAGCTTGATTAGTTTGCTTATTTTTTGTATTTGAGGGTGTAAAGGGGTTAAATCAAAGTATATTTCACATTTTGAAGGCTTGCATATATGTACATGCATGTTAGTTTGGAAATATCGGATATCCAGTGGTTACACTGGTTCCTAACAAATCACTTCCCCTTGCAGGTTAAAGGCAGTGGCGGTTGGTGGAGTTTTCTCCAGGGGGGCTATACATTAAAAATAGACTTATACTAAAATCCTATCAAACGTATACTATGTTATCACACCAGTATAGTTATACGAATGCCAACAACAACTATAATTATAAAAACACTTTATAAAAACAAAACATAATTTCATGTACAGGTTTACTTTTTTGTATATAAATCTTGCCCTCGCTTTATGAAGACAAATCTTTTTTGAATGGTCGAATATTGTCTCACAAACCTAAAAAATAATGTACTAGTTTAATAATGAAGAAGCTTTTAGTCGGCTTTATATTTTTTATATATATATGAAAAGGATTTATTTTCTTATTTTAAGAAGAGTCAATGGGCAAAGATTTTTGCACCCCAGGGCAGAAATACATCACCAATGTGAATGACACTTTACTTGTCATTAAAGATTGAATATTTATCTTGCCCATCTAAAATATATATATATCAATATATTTTGAGATACAGTGGTGTGAAAAAGTGTTTGCCCCCTTCCTCATTTCTTGTTTTTTTGCATTTTTGTCACACTTAAGTGTTTCGAAACTTAAAACCAATTTAAACAATAGTCAAGGACAACACAAGTAAACACAAAATGCAATTTTTAAATGAAGGTGTTTATTATTAAAGGAGAAAAAAAATCCAAACTATCATGGCCCTGTGTGAAAAAGTGATTGCCCCCCTCGTTAAAATATACTATAACTGTGGTTTTTAAAAAAGCCTATGAACATTAGTTAGTATTTTATCTGTGTGGTTTTATGGTTATTTTACTGTTTTGTTTTTACTACGTATGTTATTTTACTGTAATGTCTCATTTTAACTATGTATACTGTTTTTATTATACGGTTTTGTTTTAACTATGAATTTTGTAGCACTTTGAGATTTTTTTTAAATGTAAAGTGCAATACAAATAAAATTTATTATTATTATTATTATTATTTAACACCTGAGTCAAATTTCTCTAGCCACACCCAGGCCTGATTATTGCCACACCTGTTTTCAAACAAGACATCACTTCAATAGCAGCTGCCTGATACAGTAAAGTCCACCAAAAGATCTTTAAAAGCTATACAACATGCCAACATCCAAAGAAATTTAGGAACAATTGAGAAATAATGTAATTAAGCTCTATCAGTCTGGAAAGTGGTATAAAGCCATTTCCAAAGCTTTGGGAATCCAGCGAACAAAAGTGAGAGCCATTATTCACAACTAGCAAAGACATGGAACAGTGGTGAACCTTCCCAGGAGTGGCTGGCCGCCCAAAATTACCCCAAGTGTGCAGCGACGACTCATCCAAGAGGTCACAAAAGACCCCACAACAACGTCCAAAGAACTGCAGGCCTCACTTACCTCAGTTAAGGTCAGTGTTCATGCCCCCACCATCAGAAAAAGACTGGGCGAAAATGGCCTGCATTGCAGAGTTCCAAGAAGAAAACACCTGCTGAGCAAAAAGAACATTAAAACTCGTCTCAATATTTCCAAAACACATCTTGATGATCCCCAAGACTTTTGGGAAAACATTCTGGGGACCGATGAGACAAAAGTGGAACTCTTTGGAAGGTGTGTATCCCATTACATCTGGCGTAAAAGGAACACTGCATTTCAGAAAAAGAACAATATACCAACAGTAAAATATGGTGGTGGTAGTGTGATGGTCTGGGGCTGTTTTGCTGTGTCAGGACCTGGAAGACTTGCTGTGATAAATGGAACTATGAATTCTGCTGTCTACCAAAAGATCCGGAAGGAGAATGTCCGACCATCTGTTTGTGAACTCAAGCCAGACATGGGCAATGTGGAGTCAACAAGTCATCTCCATGTCATGTATTAGTTCTACCAAAGCAGGTGA